TCTTTGGTGATCTGGTCTGCATCCATTCGAATCAGTAATTTTTCCAAAATATTTTATACTAGTCATTAAAACTGCACATTTTTCATCACTCAATCTGAATCCAAAATCTTTAATTCATCTAAAGACTTTTTGCATATGGCCAAAATTTGGTTGGCTTGTCTCACAATTCTTGTGGTAGGTTATAGTTTGCTCGTTTAAAAAAAAAAAATGTTTAGTTTTAACATAGATATTGCTTAAACATATCTAAAATGTTTAATCAAACATACTTAAATGAAAATATGCTATAAAATATGCAGAAAAAAAAAAATATATTATATATATATATATATATATATATATATAGTCATGGCCAAAGTCTCAGACATGAATTTATATTTAAGATAAAATATGAGATGACTTGTTGATATGATTAATACAAATTTGATATAAATAATGTCTACAGAATAGGAACAAGACATGCAAAATACAATAATCACTGAAAGAACAGCGAACACAGTTTAATTCAATAATATAAAAACATAAGAACGGAAAAAATGAAGACAAAAAAGAGTTTAAATAAAGAAATTTGAGCATGTGGCAATGCCAAAATATAAATTTTTGAAAGTTTAATATGTCAATTTATATGATAGTTATCTGTGCATCAGCCAGTACTTCAATATGTTCATATAAAAAGACTTCATTTGTGTGATTGGTTCGTAGCAACAGAATTCACGGATAATTTCAATGTTCATTATCAAAATGCTTACAGTCATCGAAGTTGATGTTAGAGATATATCCAGAATTCATAAAGTAAAACTGGTTAAGTCCACAGTTTCTTTTGGCTACTGCCTTTACTACTCCTCTGGACAGATAAAGCATGGGAGTTGAAGATCTGATTCCTTCGGATGCTTTCTTTTTAACTTAGGTACCTCCACGAAAAAAAAAAAAAAGAGCATAGCTTGATGAAAAAGACGCCAACCTTGCTGAAAACAAAATTTTATTGTCTAAATGCTTATGTTATTATTAAGAGGAAAGACCAAAGTTTTTTTTTTTTTATTTTAAAAAAAAATTTTCCTTCTTTTAGAACATTCTAAATTTTGATTAAAAAAACCTTGTTTCTATTTGTATCAGCGGAACTAGTAAATAACATAGACAATTTTTAGCACGTTTTTTTTTTTTTTTGGTATGACACACATTAATTTGAAAAATCATGCAAAAATAGAAATAATTATCGGATGTTAATGAAACTTTCAGGAACTATTCACAGATGATCGAAATTATTATAAATATGTTTTTTTTTTATGAAAGTCATGGTAGAAATATTTTTAAAAATATTTATTACCCCCCCATAACTAATTTTATGAAAACGCTAGAAATTGATCGCATCGGTTTTAGTGATTACAATAATTAAAAGCACAGGGCTTTGAGGAATGCAAATCATGTTTTTTTTTGTTTTTAATTGGATACCCAGTACCTGAAAATCAGCTCTGAATTGTAACATACAAAACTCAATAAAACAAAGATATTATTTAATTTCAAATGCTTTTATTTGCTTTTAGTTGTTTTTATGAATATGGACAATATTTTCTGAAAGCAAAAAATTTTTTTCGATGAAAAATGAATTTTTAATACAATTATTTGTTATTTCATTAATTATAATAGATTTTACATTTAAGTTGTTAAAATATTATAAAATTAGTTAAAAGCCGCATCGGCTTTCATAAGTGTCCTTATGAGATAGATCTTTTTTTTTAGCGCGTTGTAAATTGTATCATTTTGACTAATCAGAAGATCCCCAGTAATTAAGAAATGTAATTTTGTGCTTATAATCGAGCTGTAATTATAAAATACGGAAGACCAACCAGAATATAATTAAGTTGCGTTATTTGAGTTAAGCATTGTTCTCCGCTGTTAAGGCCTTTACTTTTTGCGAAACACGTGTGGAGAAGTTAATTTGATTTTTCAATTTCAACTGAGAAGGGTACCTACAAGTATCAGTATCATCTTATGAAATTTATATGATCTTATTTTTATATTAATCTCAGTTACGACATTTTTCCATAAATGAAATATCAAAATTAATAATAAAATGAATGCAAATACAAATAACAGTAGAATGTAATAAATGTACATAAAATTATAGTATTTTATGTACAATTCTGATAAAATTTCATAAGAAAGGTACCTATAAATTAATTAGATACCTTTCTTAAGAAAATGAAATTTAATGTCACTCTTAACAGTTTTATTTTAATTTCTTTACAATATATTTCCCATAAAGCATCATAAACGTAAAGGTGAAAGCTAAGTAAAAAAAAAAAAAAAAAATTAGACCGCTGAAAGTTTTCGTTAAAAATAACGGGTAAATAATTTGTTCACGTAAATGTAAATTATTTCACTTTTCTCCTTCCGTAGAACAAATTAGCCTCATGGAATTCGTAAATATATCATTCATCACATGTCAAGAGACGCGAAAGTTTATGACCTGCTTTGTTTTATTTTCAAATTACATCTTTTTTTTTGGCACAAAAGCTAAGTTAAGTTTGGTTCAAAATATTTTAAATAAACATTATAATTTCTGATTTTCTTAAAATAAGTTTTGAAAAAATGATAATTGATATTTAAAAAATTTCAAAGTCAGATTTCCATTTTTTTTTTTTTAAAATGGAAAAAAAAATGGTCAATTTTGCTGACTCAAAAAAAACTAGATTTTTAACAAAAATTTCGGACGTGCTAGGAACGATTAAAAAAAAAAAAAAAATACCCCAAAAATACTTTGACCTTTCCTCTTAATAATAACAAACATTTAGACGATAAAATTTTGTTTTCGTCAAGTTTGGCGTCTTTTTTCATCATGCTATGCTCTTTTTTAGCGATCTCGTGGAGGTACCTATTTTAACTGGTGATTCTTTAATATTTATAATCTTTGTAATTCATTTAAAAACATTAGTAACTTTTGAAATCAAAGATCAAGCATCCATCCATTTCATGTCAGCAAAATATAAATAAAATCTATAAAAAGTCAACATTTGCCCACATATAAATTACAATGAAGGGGAAAGAAAAGAAAACCAATGTTCAAAAACATTTGCAAACGATCCTTACTACAATTTTAGAAACAATGAAGCCAGAGTCATTATAAACACACACATTCAAAACAAATTTATTATTCTAAAAGGCATTTAAATGTTATTCATCAATTAAACATGTGGAAAACTAAAAGAATCACATTGAAAACTTAAATGAAATTCATTCAGATTACGGAATAATGTTCCATTGTAAATAGACTAAATCAGAAATGGACACCCTTCTAAAGGCAATTTGGCATATTATTAATCCTATTGGTTTTTGTCAATTAATTTATACACTTGCACAGTATGAATTTTTGATTAAAGGGATTTTCTTTGTTAATATTTGTAAATGGACAAAGTGTCAACAAAATGATTTGAGTTGTTGTTCAATTATTTTGAAACAATTTAAAACAAGTCTGGTTATTGGCTTAAAAATAGTATGCCAATTATTAGAACACTCTTCTTTTAAAATCTTAATAAGTCCCCAATCCGTCCTCTATTCAATCAATTTAAAGTGTTATCTTCTGCTGATAAAGCAGAATAGTATGTTTGTAAATTCTCTTCCAGTTCTACCCTCGACTCATCAGCAGTATCTTTGTTTTACTCTCCATTTAGAATTTGTTATTTCTTGCTTTCTAGCTTGCTGGAAATCCTTTTCTGTAGTTCCTGTTTTTAAGGACTTTATCAAGCCATCTGATCCTTCAAACTATTGAAATTAGTCTTTTAAAGAAAAAAAAAAAAATTTATAGGATTTCTAATCAACTCCAAATTTGGTAGGCATCTCACTTCACTTTTTTTTTTTAAATTTTATAATACACCAAACTTTCTAGGCTTTAATCTTTTCTCGTCAGTTTATGTTATTTGTTATTGTTGAAAGAGTCTGATATAAATGGTTAAAATCAGTAAAAAAAGAATTTAACATTTTTTATAAAGCACTGAATCAACCTGTTTTTTTTGATTTTTTTAAGGTTGGCTTAGATTAAATGTTTTAATATAGTGTTTCAAATGCCAAAATGAGGGCTGTAATTTGATTGATTAAAAAAAAAAAAAAAAAAAAGAAAGTCTGCATTATTCAGTTGATTGAAACCAAACCTTTTCAAAATCAGCAGGAAAATTAAGGTAAAAAAATTATAATCAAAGAAGGTCCCAGTTTGCTATCATTGTAAAACACACACCAGCCAGTACAAAAAAAGAAATGATTACAAATAAGCATTTTAATTGCATTTTGAAAACAATTTGTTTGCAAAACCATCATTTTTTTTTTTTTTTTAACAAAGACACTTTCTTTTCAGATGCACTTGAATATCTAAGAATGCTTTGCTGTAAACAGGCAACAGGTATTTTAAAAAAGAGAAAGAGCCACAAAAATAAAAAACATTTAACCTTTAACAACTTTACAGGATCACAAAGGTTTTTGTCCATATATCTTAAAAATTTGTTTTGAATCAATTTAAACTGACAAAAATGTCTTTTTTTTTTTTTTTTTCCAAAAGAATTTTTCTTATTATCACAAAGTTTGTTATGTGCCATGTGTGATACATGCTTAGGCTTTTGATACATGATTGATGAGGCAGATTTTTTCCCATAGTAGTTTGCCATTTCTTTCTGCGGTAGATGCCTTCCTTTGGATATCTCTGCCTCCAGGTCTGTTTACCCATAGCTGGGGGGAGGAGAGGATTCATACCTTTCCCAATATCACCTTATATCATGAATGATCTTGAAAAATCAAAATTAATATTTTACTTTATTCTTAGTTTTCTCATTTAAGAGTATAAATGAGGTGGTAAAAAAATCTTATTGCTATTCTGTTTCTTGGAATAATGAAAGTGTCAAATATCTTCAAAAAATGAAAATTGTCTTTTATGAAGTTGACAAGTTAAAAGAAAGTTATTGCAGTTGTGTGGAGATCATCTGAAATTTGATTATTTCTTTATTTTCCTTTAATTTCAGAATCGTATGCAGGAAAGTCTAAAATTATTTGATTCTATCTGCAACAACAAGTGGTTTAAATAGAATCTATAATCCTTTTCTCAATAAAAAAATCTATTAAATCAGATAAAGTTCAATTTTCTCCATTAACAATATGCTTTCCAGAATACACAGGTAAGAATCTTCACTCTTTGTAAACTTGAAAAACTCTACATGATTTGCTACATTGAATTATATATTCTATCAAAAGAAAAAGCTTTTTATTTCTTTTTAATTTTATCATTTGTCATGTAAATTTTTAAGAGTCCACTATGCTAAATGTTTTCAAAATTTCTATAATTTTAATGTTTTCCAAATCACAAAGCAAATTTCAGGTGACATGTAGTAAACTTCTGAAATTTTATCATCTATGTAAAACTTGATTAACACAAGGATAATTATTCTCCAAGTAGTACTTTTCAGAATGATGTGAAGCTAATAAATCCAATGATTTTTATTTGAGAACATATAAACACAGTACATTTCTAAATTTACCCATTTTTAATAAAATATTGTTTCTGAAATTAATTCAAAACATAAAACAAAATTTTTTTTTTTTTTTTTTTTTAAAACTCAGATTAATAATTCATTTAATTTCTATTACCTCATGCTCAAGGAAATGTGAGCAGTATCTCTCTAATTTGCATGACATAACAAAAATCAGTTTTATCCCTTAGCATAAAAAGAAATTTAGTCATGAGATTTTTATTTAAAAATTTCACCATTTCTTTTTTTTTCTTTTATTTGAAAATATTCCTCTAATCAGTAAGAATCTTTCAAATAGTCTGTCATCTATTTCTACTAAAGAAAGCATTCTTCATTGGCTTATATTTATAAATGGCTGCTTTCAGCCAAGAGCTAAATGTGCAATATTCTGAGGTGAAATATATAAATTGTTGGTTTTATTGCTTAATTCATCACAAATTAATATAATTTGTGTAAAGCTAGGAATTATTGTTACATTTGAAATTACACTATTTATATTCAGACTATTTTCCTCATCCTTGTTGTTATCAAGAGACGTTTCAAATTTATTTGAATATTGAGGGTTCATCAGGTGTGTATTGATCCAGGTAATGTAACCAGGAAATTAAAACATTTTGTAAGACTATTGACAAAAGACAAGAATAATTAAAACAAAGAGGTAATTTCATTCCAAGCAAAATTTATATAAAAAAACTAAAATGCAAGGGTTAAATTGAAAGAATATAAAAAAAGAGAAACATTGTTTAAGGATGATAAAGAACATTAGAAAAGAAAATGAAAAGTTTTGGTAGTAGAGTTTGAAGAGAACTTGTCAGCAAACATTCTGCTTTATCAGAAGATATTAACACCTCAAATTGAGTGAAAAGAAGAGGAATAAAAATCTTACTCTTATTTAATACATTATTAGTCATAAGAACCAAAGCTATACAGTGCATCATCTATCAGAAAATAAAAACTTACCCTTTTTGAGGATACATTTACAATTATGTACAGCCACAAATAAGCATTTGTTATGATCCGAATTTTCATGCTGATATAGCCGATAAAAGTGATTCCTGTGGGCTATAGTGGCTGAACAGGCTGGTGTGAACCATGGAGAAGATTGTGGTTTCACCTGGTATTTTTGAGAAGGTACAAAAGCATTGATGCCAGCTATAACCCAAGAAGAAACCTCACTGGCGCAATTCTCAATAGGAAGATTAAGAATATCAATCCAAGGAGCAACTCAAAGAAAGTCACAAAATGAATCCCAGTTCGTATGTTAGTAACAGAAAAAGGTCTTGCTTATAGGAGGTACCTGTCTAATAGACAACAGAAACAAAATGTCAATGTGATCCAAATTTCCAAGAGGTCAGAGTTGCAAAGCTTGACAAGAGCTGGGAAAGGAGGTTAAGAACAAATCAAGTTGAACAAATTTATTAGGAAAACAAATCTGGAAATCCACTATTTGAGTAAGAGACTGAGAAATGGAAAAATTGAAAGTCTAAATACCAGCAACATCACTCACATTAGAATGCTTAAGCCGCTTGACATGATGTGCGTTAAAATCACCAAACACAAAAATGTTTGCCAATTAATGAAGAGAGAACCTTTTCTATACTATCTGAAATTTTGTGTAATATATTGCAATCTTGAGAAGCAAAATAAATCAAAAAGAGAGATAGCTAACAGAATGTAATAATGAGAGTTGGAAGCACATAAAATAATTATCTGAGGACTTGAGGAACAATTCCTTTGCCATTGGAAGGACATGCATATGTATGCTAGAATCTTTTCGACAAAGAGGAAGATAGCCTGGAACATAGAATTCATTGGTATCAATAGAAGAATTTAAATTAGTTTCACATAGAAGATATCTGGAAACTTTTAAGAGAAAAGATTATACACTGCAGAAATTAGAGTGGATACTACAAATATTGGCAAAAGAAAGGTTGAGGGTGGTAGGTGAATTTTTGTTTACTGGTTTTCTTGTATTTCTCTTCATTGTCTCAGTCATAAGGAGGTATGTTTTGAGGAGAGAAAAAAAGGAGGTCAAAATAGTCACACTGTGAATGGCAATACAAATGAGCCAGAACATGGTTAAGATTAAAGATTAATGTGGCTTTAGGATTACCTGCTGGAAATATATGCAGGGACACCTACTCATGCATGACATGGCACTACAAATACCCCAATATTGTGTGACTGTTGATCAGAACAGCCTGTTTACATGCTACAATATTGAGTTCAGGCTCCTTACGACTAGTCAGACGCAGCAACTAGAAAACCACCAACCCGCTACTTTCATAATGAAGAGTCACAGCCACTGATCAGTCAGATCACCAACAAGTTAAGACAAACATTATGGCTTTGGAAGAAAGAACTGGTAAACATATCCTAAATAGGAAACCGGGGATAATCCTCTACTCCTGTTCAATAAACATGGAAGGAGTCGGGGCTGGTCAATAGGCAAATTATACTATAATAGGTATTTTTACTTATTTCATTTCTCAGTACTGCATATAACATACTTGTTAATTTTGTGCTACAAAAATACTATTCTTATTGTTTATTTGTATTTGTGGCTCCTATTATTGTTGGTGATTTCACAACTTGAATAATGTTTTTCCTGTGCATGTCTTTGTACTTTTCTCATTTGTTTTGATATTCTTGCATAGCAATAGCTTTCTTGACCTAATAGTACTATTTTTTTTTCTATTTACACTATTCGGACTGTTGTCCTCATCTTGCCATATTCATGTTTCATGATGTATGCTCTGGCCTTTTTCAGGTGATTGGAATTTCAAACTGAACCTAGGGTATATTGTTCTAGCTCTTCCAGATGTCTTACTATCAGTTATCTCCCTTTTACCTCAACTCTCCAAGTTTTTGTTCACCTCAGCAAGTATTGGACACATGGCCCAGTGGATGAAAGTCTTGATTGAATCCATTGACTTGACCCAAAGAGTTGAGAGTTCAATACATGGAGAGTTGAGTTAAAAGAGACAGTTAATACTGAGACATCCGGAAGAGGCATGGCACATGGAACTAGAACAATCTACTCCTGGTGGACAAAATAAAAGGTTCAGTTCAAAACTTCAATCATCTGAAGAAGGCCAGAGTGTACAATAGCCGAAACATCATGAATATGGCAACGAAGATGAGGACAACAGTCCAAACAATGTAAATAGTGTAATAATTACAATACCTCATCTCAGAAATATAGACATACTTTTTTCTTTGTTTTCTATTTCCCCTTTTGTAGGTAAACAGACGTATGAAGAAGCTGCCGCATACATCCAGGCACAGTTTGAATCGAAGAACAAAAGTTCAACGAAGGAAATCTATTGTCATCAAACATGCGCCACAGACACAAACAACATCCAGTTTGTGTTCGACGCTGTAACAGATGTAATCATTGCAAACAATCTCCGTGGCTGTGGCTTGTACTAATCGGTCTGTCGGTCAGTGACCTTGGCTGTGTGCTGTCCATACACTCTTGTGACCTTGACATTATTCTTACATTCAACAGAGACTCCTGGCACTTGTTACTGGGCCCTCTGTCATGTGCAATTTTATTTCCCATCACCTTCTTGTGATGTGGCTGAAATAATAACCTTTCATCATACAGCATGTACCGAAGAAAACCGACAACAAAAGGTATATGTGTGTGGGTGTGTGTATGTGTAATATATATTGTATATGATTAGTGTGAATGTGTGGTATGTCTACACATATGTATGTTCATACATAGTTATATGTAAACATGCATATAAGCTATGTGACAGCATGTCTGTGTATATATTAGCATTTATACACACATTATGAACAACACAACACACATACGCACTCTAGTTAGGTGTGTGTGTGTGTATGTGCGTGTAATATATATATATATATATATATATATACTCACACATACAGTGTCTTCAAATGAATCTAGCAAAAGGTTATTTGGTAGATTCATTTCAGGATAGTTGTATACATATATGCATACACACATACATACATGCACACATATAGCAAAGCGATGTCACATTCATTTGTTGGATATTTAATGTCATAACAGATGTTGCTGTGAATCACATGCTGAAGAATGTCTAATTTGAAGGACAGAAAAATGTTTTCTAGTGTTTGTTTCATGCACAGTGAAACTTATTCTCGTAGGTCATTTTCATATTTTGTAGACTGAATCTTTGTTGTCAGCATCTGTGGATGAGAAAATATTACATCTGCTTCTTTGCTGCCTACTATATTCTACTTTGTTTATTTGCTTATCATACGCCCTGTATGTCTGTGTTATCATCCTCTGACCTGTGACACTGAATCCATGATAACCATGATGAACTGTTCGCTACAGATTTGAAGATGCTCTTGTGGGATAAAAAAAAAAAAGCACACAAAAAAAACTCCTTATTAAAATAAAAAACAGGAAAAAAAAAAACCTACCTTCAAAAAAAAAAAAAAATACAAACTCTTTTCTTCTACTGCTATGTGCATTTTTAATTTCACCTAAACAAAAATGAATATCAAACAAGTAGCAATTGATGTAGTACATTAAATTTCAGAAAAAGGAAAAATTCAGAAAAACGAAAACTTACGAAAAAAAACAAAAAAAAAAAACAAATGGACAAAAACAACAAAAAACAAAAAAAAAAAAGGAAAAAATAGTCTTTTTCAACATTTTACAGCTTTAATAAGCACTGGGAAGATTTTTTTTTTCTAATTTCCTAATTGTTTGACATGTGGTTTTAACATTCAGCAAACGGAAAGAGACAACTGCCACCTGTGCATCTTTTCATTGTTTTTACTGGATCCCCCCTGCCCCATTTCCTCTATAGTTACATGGTGTCTTTGTTGTGGGTGCCCTAAAGTCCTTATGAAAAACTGGATGTTTGCTTGCAGTCTATTATAGGAAACTGTATAATTTATTTCATAAATATGTTCTATCAAAAAAAAAAAGAAAAAAAAAAAAGGATTTTTTTTCTCTTTCCTTCTTTCCTTTTTTCTGAATTTTATCACTTTTTGTGTTTGCGTGTTTTATCCCCTTTTTCTTATTTTATTAACTTTTTTTTTCTCGTAATTTTTAAAGATGCTAGCAAAATGTCCAGTGTGGAGTATACAAGATCAACCAAACAAAACAGAAAAAAAAATTGCTATTTGAGAAATAGGTTGATTGCTTGGCTACACTCAAGTTTGGCTACACTCAATTATGATATCACTCATGCAGATGTTACATCTTGGTGACCAAGTATATGTCTGTAACTCTGTTTTTCATATGTTAATATGTACATTTAGTAATTTCTCAAAGTAATGATGATGTACTTGATCCCACCATGTGCGAGCATGACATAGACATCACATGTATCATTCATTACTGGACATGGTACTGCCTACTATATCAGTACTTGTATATTATTATTAATAATAATATTAATGTAGCTGGTCATGAGACTTAGCAGTTTTGCTGATTCTTGCTATTTTATCTGATTAAGAATATCTAATGTATAATAAAAGGTAAATTTTCAATTATTTCCATTTTTTTAACCATTTCTGATTATCTCCCTTAAAAATTTATGCCTGTACATGGGGTGAAATATCTACCCTTTCTAATAATAATTGATAATCTTATAAACAATAATGATTCTATAATTTCTGTTCATTACTTGATAAATAAGGAGCCAAATTGAAAAGACAGATTTTGTGCATATAGATTGTTTCTATCACTGAATGATATTTCTGGTGGAGGTGACTATATTCAAAATATAAACAGTTGATAAGGTCTAGACAATAACTAGTTTACAGAAAAAAAAATCATGATTTCATACTTAGTTGAAAAATTAGTCAAGATTTGTGATTCATTATCCAGTCAGTACTCACTATAAGATTTAAATTGATAGATATGAATTATTATTATTATTGATTACTTCCTAAATGCTTCTGTTCCTTACTTCCTATCCCTCTCTTTTTTTCCATCTAGCTACTGCTGCCTTATAACAACTACTTAGTTGAACAACTGAATTAATAATCTCCTGTTACCAATGTTAATCTGCTTGTATAAATCAAGCAGGTGGTTTATAGATTCTGAAGATTAACTGTGATACTGTCAATTTTGTTATAAAATTGTGGGCTCCCACAAATCCTACGTAACATGTCACTATTCTACTTGCCTCTTTGACTGATACTCAATTTCTCTTCACCCCACAATATCAAGCTCCTCATTTCTGTAAAATTTTAACACTAAACTTTTTTTTTTTCCTTTTTTTAAATCTATTTCTATCTTCTTTGTATATTAGTTATTTTTACATGCTGTAAATTTTGGGGAATTATGTAGTCAAATAAGATGGATGTTTCCAAAAATAGCTTAACCAACCATTATTATTTATTACTTGCCAGAAAACTAGTAAGGCACTGCATAATTTTAGATCTTATAAAATAAGAAAAGTGCTAACACTAAAAGTATCAAAGCATTCTTGGGATTAACTTGCAGCCATATATTACTCTGAACAAGGTTGTAATCTCTTAGAAAATATTCTGTTATTTGAGCCCAGCTGCCATTGTGGACGGAAATTCTTTTTTCTTGTCACACATGTTGGATTTTTGTCCAAAAAAACAAAATGACAACCAATCCTCAGAGGTTGCTTTATAAAAAGAAAAAAATGTCCTCTCTCTCTCCCTATCACCTTCTTCTTTTGGCCTTGTGAATCAGAGTTATGGAAGTCACAGCCTGTCCACTGCTAAACCTGTTATTCATAATCATTTGAGTTAGGACTCTTGTGTCAGACCTTTTGTCACACTGGCAAATATAGCTACAAGCAATATATACAAATTATAAATAAATTTAAAAAAAGAAAAAAATATACACACACACACACTAAAAAATTTATAATCACTGTTGAGTTTCCCCCTTTTACTTCCAGTGGATTTTAGTAACTTATCAACATTGTTGTATGGATGTGTCTGTGGCTACGGATAGAAGTTCTGGTTGGTTGTTTTGCTTGCTTGCTTGGTGGGGCGACATGAGAACGTTTTTGTCATGATAGGATAAAGATATTTTTCTTTTAATATCAATATTAACTTGCTTAGAATTGAACCACTTCTCTATCAATTCTAAGATTATTATAAAGAAACTGAAGGAGCATGCAAACTGACTTTTGAATTCCCATTATCCAAAGATCAGCATCAGTTTATTTTTTTTTATTTTATTCTTTTCCATCTTACAAGTTGTGTAATATTTGATTGGATGATTGCTTTTAATTAAAAAGTTTTTTCACTGATGAGAATTACAAAAATTTAGTTTCATTCTACAAAGCTATTTTAGTAATTAAAATATTTAAGACATTATCTCTCTGAATAAATGCATATGAGAATCATTCATCTTAAGAAATTTGAAAGTCAAAATGCCTAGTGATTAGTTCAGGTTTGTTGGGTATGTTTGAGATTGAATGAATAAATAAAACTTTATTAACTGCTGTAATTACCCTTTCTTCATAATAGGACAAACAATGTATATTAGGGACAAACTGTTTAACTTCCAAGCAACGGCCCAAAAGAGGTGTGGAGTAGGATGAGGGACTCTAAACAAGAGTAGCAAAATACTTTTGTACTGATCATTCAATTTCAAAAAATGATCTGAGCCTAACTTATTTCTTCATTTTTCCTACGTTGATTTCTGATTATATAAACTGTTTAATCTTTCTAGTTGATTTTAATTTTTAAAGATATGAAAAATGAATTTAATGGAATTATAACTGTTTGTCATTTATTTCTTCCTTTACATCACTTCCATTAATAATAGCACAATTTAACAATAACCAGTTATATAAATGCTTTTTTTCTTTTATCTGGGTTTCAAATTGAACCATCAGGACTAATTTGCTGGAGCTAAGCTTTGTCTATTTTATCTTTTTTGCTTGCAATTCATTTTGTATTTATTGATAAACTCCCTCACTTTCCACTTATATCAAAACAACTACACAAATCCCTATAATTTTTCATTATAATAACACAATATATTTAGCCTAGAGTAAGATCCTTGTACAATTTAGATTAATTTTATTAAATTTTAATTAACAAACAATATTTTTAATTCTTCCCTGTTAATTCCAAATACATTTTAATCTATATAAATAATACTCCTCTTCCACACTGTAAGCAGAAAACTTTAATATCTACCAGTTTTTAAGCCCTAGCAATTTCTTTTCTGCTGTGTTCTCTGATTAGTCGTACTTTCCATGTTCGTATGTTGAGCAAATCATTCCAATACAAGGCTGGCCTCTCATTTCCAATGTAGAAAACAAGGTGCAACAAGATAACACATAAGCAAATAAAATGAAGAATAACAATTATAAAATGCAAAAGGGTTGTGAATATGTTAATGAGCTCTATCCTGACAACTAAAGTTTTACTTTTTCTTGTCAGTGAACATAGTTGATTCACTGCATAATGTATTT